GTCTCTCTTGACTCTGTTGGTGCTTTTTCATACAGGACAAGGCATTGCGGGGCAAACAGGTTCCCTACTAGGGTTGAAAAGCCTCAGAACAACGAGCCTGTGATGCGACGGTTAGTGTTAAATTAGTAACCAAAAAGCAGGGGTTGGAAATTTGTGTGTCCCCAAACCTGGCTGGCTGATAACCGCTCATATGCCAGAAATGATCCATACAGATTCCGTTGTCCTTGTCAATGATCCCATGCAGCATCTACATGCTCCCATCCTAAAAAAGATCAAATAAATGGACCGCACGCAACGCATGCACCAGCAGACGGTTGACCAGAAACTCTAGGCTGCCATGGCAGTGAAACTGCGAACAAACGAACATATTCGTATGCTCGTCAGCTGACAAATTAACCGCTAAGAGCAAGTTGTTGACAGGCTCTGTTTAATAAGCCATAAATGGCCCTACCATAAGCTTCCTTGCTTTATTAAATGTCTCTTCATTAACAATAGTCATGCAACCGACTTCAAAGATTGTAGGTCGAACTGGAATACGCAACCCAAAGGACATGTAGCATAATCAGATTTGTGAACGACCCACGCTACAGAAAACTAACACAGCCGTCAAAAAATGAGACAATGCTGTAGCACCTGTTTGAAGGTCAGTGTGATAGCCTCATACTTCTGGTGGTCAAGAGCATTCATCAAATCGATGATGGCCTGATGTGCCTTGTCCAGTTCCTCCTTCCGTTTTAGAAGTTTCTCTTTTTCTTCTGAATGGCTCACAAACTGATCGAGCGCCTTTTTGTTCACATGACTGTACCGTTTGAGTTCACGGTTAGCCTTGTCCAGAAGTTTGAAGAGCTGGAAAAAGCAAGAAAAAAGAGGCATCAGAGGCAGAATAAAAGGAAACGTCGGTTATTGAAAGACGAAGGCACAGTTTAAGGCTATCTAATCGCCAAACTGGAAGACGCCAATATGTGCGCCTTAATGTTCACTGATTCAGAAGTCGGGCAAACAGTTTAAGAGAGAAGAGGAAGAAACCAGGATTATGGAAGTAACACAGAGACCCACCTTGTACGGCGAGGAGCCACAACCGACTACGCCAAGACAAGCTCTAGGGTGACTTTGCATAGCGGTAGTGCTAGGCCTTTCAGTAATTTGGCCAAGCTCGTCAACAGAGTGCTACTGGGACTCAAATCCGACCAATTCACACACACGCACGAAAACGCCGGGGTCACCAATTTCTGGCGAAGCAAGAAGGGGATGGACGACTGTGAGTTTCGGAATGCCTGTGTGTTGTAGTCGGTAAGCGTGTCTGGAACTACTCATCGAGACGGTGAACGACCTGGATGCAGTGCGACGTTGAACGGAAACGCCAGATATCGTCACGATGACCGTAGACTACTAAAGCACAATGCCTTCTGGTTTTCCTGGCCAGTGGATGACACATGGCAGGTTGTTGATGGTAATATAAGTCAGAATAGGCCATGCCATTTCCTATTTCTTTGTCAGTAGTTCTGATTGGCTTATTGTATTGACAGGTAACCAAATATCTGGCAGACACATGATACTAGCGCATTTATTACAACAAGATGACGTTGATTCTTCTAGATTTTTGTACAGGGATCATACTTACCGTCGAATTTGTGGATGAGTGATTTAAAGAAATATGAGCAGAGAAAAATGCCTCCGTAATTTCACCGTTTGCCTGTGAAAATCGTGCATATTGCCCCCATCGTACTGAAAGGTTTTCGTATGATACTTTTAAAGCGCATTTTTTAAGAAGGATACAAGGCAGAGTTGTGTGAGGACGCCGGGCCACGTACTTGCTTTAGACTCTTGTCCTTGAATTTGTCGAAAGCGTCTGCAGGAAGGGAGCCCAAATCGCGGATTTTCTTCATGTTTTCCTCTTTCTGAAAAACAAATGATTGATATTACTTGAATAATAATTTCGAATCAAAATAGCATTTTAGAATTTAGGTTAGTATTTCATGCTACTATTACTACTACTACTACTACTACTACTACTACTACTACTACTACTAC